TTTTTTTTTTGTTTTTTAAAAAAAAAAAAAAAAAAAAAAAAAAAAACCTATGCGAATGGGCTTGAACGAATAGTCGTTAAATATAAATAATCTTCGTATTATTGAAATATATACGTACTCGCATGATTTTTTTATACGAGTAATATTTAATTACAATTATAATTTATTTATATCAATTTTTGATAATGGATTTTATTTATGATTTTTAATTGAGACTTTTGTAAGTGTACTCAGAATCTAATAATTTTGCGTCTTAAGGCGACTGAACTTCTTATTACTGAACTCTTTAACGATTATGGTATGGTTGCTCAACAGTTGCACTTGTGAGTGCGGCTTTTTGTCGCCAATGGAAACGTAACTTCTGACTCACTACGGTCAACGGGTTCGTCCTAAATCCCTTGGTAACTGAATCCGATGACTGGAACGTATTGCGGTGACGTTGCGGTGTGATAAACTCGTAAATATATATCTATATACATATATATACATATATTGTCCTTATATCCACGTTGTACGAATTAAAGTAACGCAAAAAAATATTGCGATACAAATTAAACGTTAATATAACCCATATTAGAATTGACAAAAAAATATAACTTTGGTGCCATAAAAAAATAATAAGAATCATTGTCCAATTCAAAATTAAATATTGAAGATAACGGTTTATTTATTTTAAAAAATCTATCAGACCAGACCACCGGCTGTAGTTCCTCCTGTCATAATTCTCTTTTCAATTCCACAACGCAATCTCCCATCTCTGGCTTCCATTGAAAAAATTAACACCAAATAGGTACATATATATGTAGCCAGGTAGTCAAACCCACGACTCTCGTAAGAATCGTGGGTGTAGCTCCCTGCGTCTCCTCGGTAACGTATATCGAAGATGCACGACGCTAGCTACGGGAGAAACGTGGGCAAAGAAACGTGTCTGCATCCAAGTGGAATATTTCGAAGGAAAAGGCACGCGTCACCTACCTCTATATACAGCATACAGCAAGAGGAGCAGAATGGGTCGGGATGATCAGCTCCTTTTTTTATTTCCTTCTCTTTACAACGCAACACTTTCCCTTCACTTTACTCCCTTCCCTGACTCGCGGCAGTCACGAGTCCAAAGTCTCGGAGGCCTGAATCTTCTTCCTGAACGTTAGAATTACTATCGGTTTAACTGCCTTCGAGTTGCCGCGCGCGAGTCCAGTCAATTTTTCTTTAGCTACTACGCGCTTCAGTATTCATACTGCATTCGACTCTTCCGATGCACGGCCCTCTTCCTGGCGCCTGCAGAAATTGAATTAATCATAATACCGAGACTTGAACTTAAAAATATATTTCTCTTTTTTAAATATTAAGCACGTCTAAAAAATATTGGACGTTGTTTTGACTCCTTTTGAACGAAACCGTATACTGCTATACGTCCATACCGTTTCATTGCATGCTTCTCGTATTTTATTGAACTTGATTATTAAATAGTGACTAGTCTGACTGTTCTTCGAAATATATCACGATAAAATAGGATATTGTCACCGGTCCTTTTGATACCCTGTCGCAGCCTGTTAATTTAGTCGTTGTTAATGTTACAGCCATTATCATTGAGTGACGTTACAAAGTCTGATATCCCGACACATTTTCCTTTCACTTTCAACGTTTTTGTATAAATAATCACATTAGATGACTGATTCTTGATTAATTTTTTTTTCTCGCCTCTTGTCTCTTCATGACATATTCGTCAATGTGAAAAATAAAAATACGCAAGTCACGAAAAAACGCGACGGCACAAAACAGAATTCATGTCGCTCCTCTAATTATTGGAGCTACCATTTCATACGAGCCACCCTGTATAGCATGTGGGTAACACGAGACGGATGTAATGCAAGCCGTGCCATTATACGGTACAAGACAACGGGCCGCAAAAAATACCCAGCATCCCTCGCGTCTATAACTGCTTCTCGGTTCTTCGAACTGACGTAAGCACGACAGTCCGGGGGTAGGGGGGGGGGGGGGGGGGGTTCATTT